ATTAAATAAGGAAAAGTTATAGTGACAATGAATTCGAAAATGAATGATTTATGGGGAAAAATTACCAGCGGAGAATATTCCGATGATAAATAGAAGAAGATCGATCATTTTACCTCCATCAATTCAATTATGGTGTATATTGTGATATAATGATATTTATTACATTAAACGCAGCAAATTCTATATCACGTTGATCCATGTTATAAAATTAAATTAATATCTCGATCAAATTATCTAAAAGTATATGTACATCTAAATTTTAATACCTTTTACAAATATTCTCCAATAAAGAGGTCGTAATATTTACTCTGGGATATTTTCCATACAAGAGGAAAGATTAAATTACAAAATTCAAGTTAAAATAATTCACTTTTAAATAATCCTTATTAAATTTATTTGTAAAAGATGAAACGTGTTATACTTCTTTAAATGGCAATATTCACATATTTGATATATTTTATATAAAATTATATTATTTTATTCTATAACTTAATGATGGGATAGAATAAAATAATATGAAATAAAATATAAAATCAAAAAAATTATTATGATCAATTACGAAATTATAGGTGGTCAGATATTTCTGTGATCAATATGTTATACCTTCAAAATCAAATTTTTTCCTTTTTCAAATTGAAACAGTATTCGATCAAAAAAATTGAAAAACAGAGAAAAGTGAAATATCTGTGTTCAAAGGGAACGATATCGCGTTACAAAAATATTCATTCGTAGATGTGAAAGAATTAAATTGAAAAGATATAATATCATTTAGAAATCTCTATGTAAAAGAATTTTACGATTCAAAAAGAAAGAAAATTCAAGATTATAAATATATTTTTTAAAATTTCTTTCATCGTATTGCATACGAGGATTAACTCCTACGTGCAAAATACAGAGAAGAAGAAACAAACGTTTCGTCATTCCATCGAGGCGGATTTACTTAATACAATGTCTGAACTCGGGTGTGAAAATCGCGGTCGTCAAGAAGTTGACCTGATACTTGTATATAAATGCCGCTTTGTCAATGGAGTTTTATATAAACTGATGATCTCAGACAAATTTCTCGATGTGTTACAGGGCGTGACACGTTTCAATTTCTTTCACAATGTTTCTTTGGATTTCTGTTGTTCGCACGTATATTCCGCGGAGGAAACAATTTTCAAGCAAAGTATTTTTAAATGTGTAAATTTTTATCCAAGAAAATATTTAAACATGATTGCTCGTATCGAATCATTTATATATAGATTATGAATATATAAAGAATTTCTGGTTAAAAATAATATTAATAACCGATTTCAATAATTGAGAAACTTATTTTTATCGAAAGAGGAAATTTTGTTACATTTTTATATTTCATCTTTCAATTATTTATTCCATTTGATAAATGTTTTATAATTTCGTATATCGGTTATATTATTCTAAATTATATTTTTAATTTTTTAATATTTTAATTTAATCACTATTAATAGTCATTTTATCTTTATGACACCATTAGTAATTTTGGTATTCGATACTAGTGATCCCTAGGATGCTAAACTACTAAAAATCTCTAGAATACTAACTATATTTATAATTCAATCATTTAGGTAGGAACAAAATTCTTTATTTAATCTCAATAACTCAAAATGATCAAGAAATGAATTGAAATAATTGATTTTCATAAATAATTATAATGGAATTATCCAGAAAACTGATGGAATCCATTAAAACGTTCGAAATATATTTTTTTCCTCTTTGCTTTCTTTTCTCTTTGTTCCCCGCACTTGTATAATGCATCCGCAGCAAATTTCTCATCGAGCTCCTAGATTTATCCACTTTTTGAGCTTGTTTCCCCGTGCACGAAGCCATATTCTCCGTTTCGAATCACATCGACGCCATTATATTTCCGTTTCACGTAGAATCGGTGGCGGGAATGGTACGCGATCTCCGTTAGAATGAGTTAGAGCCAAGGACTGACCTATCCCATGTTGAACGACCTCGACGAACTCTCGAAGGCCAATGCACCGTAATTCATAACTTTATCAGTTCCTGGTTATGTTGGTAAAGAGTGATGTGCCATCGAATCGTGATGTTCGATTCTGGTTTACCAATGATTTACCAAATTAATCCATTCGAGATGGATTTATATTTTTAACAAATGAATGCAATGAAAATAATAATTGTATCTTCTTAAATTTAAAAGAAAAAAAACAATAGATCAAGTGTAATTTTTAAATTGAAATTTCTCATTATTTTTTATACGTGTTATAATATTAATAGAGAAATTATATCTATATATGGTAGTCTTTATAACACATAATTATTTTGACAATGTATATTGATTTTTCCACTTGAAAGGATTAAACGATAACGAGAAAATTAAATTTCCGCTCTTTGCTTTAATATTGTTTGGGCTTGCATTGTTTACTTCATGCATTCATACTCATTCAATAGGAAAATGGAATATGGTGAGTTTGATTAATATTAAGAATGTAAATGATAAATTAATTAGATTATAAATTTTGCGAATTGATGGTTTTCGTTTAAAGATTTAGTCCAAGTGGTTCATTTAAAATATAAGAATTGTGAAAGGAAAATTATTATATTACATGTATAAAGTTAATATGATTTCATTTAATTTTTCTCTAATGAAACATATATATTTTTATCGGATTTAATATAAGTCGTTTTTAATGATAAAAATAAAATCCGATACATATTTTAAATCGCGCTACTCTTTTAATGGAGAATTAAATCAAACGTAAGAAATTAATTTTAAAAAGAACATTAGCAAATTAGTTCTACAATAATTTTTAGATAGAAATTATACGAGAATAAAATATTTTCTGCAGAAGAAATTAAATGATATATCTTGTACATATAATTCGGATAAATTATTTTTTTTTTGTCGACAATGAAGAAAAAAACACATATGAGAGTCAATTATTATACAAGAGATGTGATTTATCATAATCGAACGATGCATCTTTTATTTTAACAAAGTATCACAGTTTTGGATCAATTAAAAATCGAACATCACATTTAATCCGGAAAGAAAAAGTATTTTTAGAGAAAATAAATACGTGAAAAAATAAACAAGGTAGAAAAATATCGAGAGAGGCATGCAAAAGGATAATAGTCGCTAGATTACGCCGATTTACCGGATTCCAAACGATGTTACTGTCGACGTTAATGCGATCGTTAAAAAAGATAAAAGTGCAAGTCTGTATTTTTTCTCGAATGGAACCACGTTTTGAACTCAATGGAAAATTCGATACGAGATATGTAGAGAGAAATACACCACGTGTACAAATGTACGTGCACGAGTTTATCAGAAAATATTGCACGAAATAAAAAGCAATATTAGAAAGCTTCGAAAATTGAGATTGCCCTTGTAAAAAAAAACAGTTGCCAGTAATTAAAGCAACGATGTAATAAAGGTAGTAGATAAAAACACAGAAAAAATGTGGCGAGAATTGAAAACTTCATCTTAATAATATAAAACGAAAATTCCACTGTTATATTAATTGAATAAACGAAGTTTCTCCAAATCTCGATATTACATTCAACAATCTCACATTATTAGACATACATACAATTACGAGATATGATTCCAATTTTATAAGAGCACAACTAAGATCATAGACTCATAGTTGGATGTGTCTAATGTGACCTTAACGCGAGACTAAACCTGACATGGCAGATACATTAGAACCATGCTTAACATGACCCAGGTTCAGTAGAACCTGATTGTAGAACATGACTATCGACCCGACGGATTATCCTCGTGAGGTCAATCATTAGGGACCTTATAGAACTTTGACAGTCGGGGCTTTGATCTTACAGACACGGTCTCGCGGTGGATGTCATCACTTTGGATACGATCTTTTGAATCCAGGATATATATATATATATATACACGATAGATGTGATCTCATAGGACGGGATCATACCGGATGTGGTTATTTCTTGAGTTTAAAACCAGGTCAAACACTACGCGACGAAAATATATTTTCTGGAAGGAAATAACTATGAGAAACGCATTTTTTCCTTTTTTTTTTTTTTTAATTAAAAATTATTTTATAATTCATTTCGAAAATTCGTTTAAATAACGTGTTTAATGGCTATCTAATCAATTATTCAATCTCAAAAATTAATGGGGAGAAATCTAATAATAAAAAAACAAATAAATAAATATAGAAATAGAAGTTTTAACATTATTATCAATTATATTATCAATTATAGAAATTCGAAAGGAGGATGTAAAAGTATTGGTAAAGATTAGAAGATGCCGAATGATTCCGGATAAATAAGATTTCACTACGGTTATTTATTTATCGTACATTTTTCCATCGTAAAAATCACTCGACACGTTATATCAAAAATCTTTCTTTCTTATTTTTTTTTTTTTTTCATTATTCCTGCCAGCTCCTTTACAACTCTACGTTCGTAACTAAACGAGGGTTGCTCCTTCGTAAGCAAATCGGCGAAACCTTCGATCGACGATTTCCAACGGGTATCTGTACGCAGAACGACTATTGCCAGCCGCTGCCGCCGCCGCTTTGTTTCCTGGCTCCGCTTTAACCTTTCATTCCTCCCGTTCGACGCGATAAAAAGTTCAATATCGCTGTGAAAAGCTTGCTAGCCGAGGGGCGTGGGGAGGGAGAGGCATATGCAAGTACTTTTGCCGGTATTTCAAAGTGGCGAGGGCCCTATTGACTTCCGGTTGGAGTTGGAGCAGAAGGGAAAGCAGAGGTTCTAAGGCCTCTGGAATCTGAGAAAACTTTCCTCCTCGTCCAGGTGAAACTTACCACCAGCCAGGAAATGGAAACTCTCGCGTCTCTGTTTCGTAGCGTCGTATGCTTCTCGTTTCCGTTTCTTTTCCTCCGTTTCCTCCCCTGTTATTTTCTTCCTCCTCCTCCTTTTTTTTTTCTTATTCCTTTCATCCCTCGTTCGGATTTATCACGATGTCTCACGTATTCAACAGGGATTGAACGAGGATATTTTTGTTGCTTTTATAGGAAGCTGCCAAAACGCGGATCCGCGAGAACAGTTCGATAACAGGGATGACGCGAGGAAAATAGACGATCTGCGCGATGAACTGCAGGCTGACGATGCGGATCAGTCGTATGTGTAAGTACTTTATGCATATTTGATGCTGTCGAACGTGTCGGTTATCGAACAACTCTCGGTTCGAGAATAAAATAGAAGACGGTTAATCGGAGGTTGTCGAGTAACCGTTCGGATGTTGTTACAGCGAAATTTTGTTTTGAAACAAATTAGGATTGTTTCTTTAAGAAGGAAAATTGATATAAATATATTTTTTTAATTTTAATTAAAGATTCAGAATGTTATAACCTTCTTGAAAAATTTTTATAGAAATTTTTCGTGTAGAGATTTGTATCCAAAAATTTGAACGCCGGTTATTGATTTTGAAAATAGTTGTTCTATCTCCCTTTGGAATGTGTAACGCGTGTCTGTGACAACGGAGTTAATGAGCGAATTGGCTCGTTAATTACCAAAGTCGACCGTTATGTTTGTAGAGCAGTGTCAATTGTTTCAAGTGAGCCTAGTTTTGAATTAACCTTAAAAGAACGAGTTTGGATAATGTATTTCTGTCGATCAATTTTAAAGTTAAATTTAGAAAGGATAGATTTAGATTTTATATTCATTTTTTAAAGGTTTTTTTAGTATGGTACGGTGTTTATTTTCACGGTGTTTATGGGATTATATTCGAAGTTATTTATTAAAGAATCTTTTTATCGAGAAAGTTTGTGAATTAATGTAATTAATTTTTAACAATGCAGTGACGAATCAATTTCCATTCTCAAAGAACCAGCTCTGTGACCTTCGATTGTTACTTGGCGATAAATCAGACAGTTTGTCTTCGAATATATTATCAAGGCTGCACGTGGCGTAAAAATTGGACATCAAGCACGTTCTTTTTTTCATTCAAAATAATTTATAATGTTTCCAATCAATACTAATTGTTCAAATAATATATCGAGCAAATTAAATATCAGTTTGAAATTTACAACCATTGATATTAATATTCTACACATTATTTTTGATTTCCTTTCGGGCACAATCTCATTTTGATTGTATCAATCGATATTTCGATCGTTAAAAATTAATTTAACATTCTGTTCGATAAAATGCTAATTCTTAATTTTTTCATAATTTTAAATATTATACAAAATTTTAGTTCGAGTTATCGATCCAACTCGTATGTTTCTCTTGTTGTAAAATTATTGTATAACTCGAGGAAGAAAATAAAAAAAAGAGGATATTAGATGAAAATCAAAGTTGGACGAGAATAAATTCTCCAATTCATCCTTTCTACTAAATTTTCTACCAAATAAATCTCCGCAAAACTACCCTCCAAATACCCTCATTTACCGATAACTCACCTAAATCAACGAAAAAAAAAGGAGGAAGAGAGAAGAAAAAAAAAGAAAAAATAAGAAATAACAGAAGAAGTAAGAAGAAACGTACCTCACATTTCTTGTTTCCTCGGCAACAAGTTCACCGAGCGAATTTAATAAACTTGTGGATCGAATGGCCGAGTTGTAGCGGGCACCGAGGATCAAACGGTTGGACTTGTGAGAACCGATAATTACGGTGGGGTACGAAATAAGGGCGGTCGTATTACACACTCGAACTTTCTAATTGATACGTAACACAGTGGAACCGCATTCGTGGAAATCCTAATTTCACGGTGCACACTGGTCAACGTTCGTCTCAATTACACGGTAGCATGACTTATAATTATCAAAGTTAAAAGATCCTAGGAATGGTGGAATGCTGATACTCGTAGACCAGATCCACACGATGAAAAAAGAATTTAACTTTAACGTTTAAAATTATTGGAATGTTTAATAATTTGCGATAAAATTTCATTTTGTTTGATATTGATCTTGTCGAAAAATTAATTGCGATCTTTAAATGGTAGATTCGTTTAATCCTTTGTTAATCTTATTTCGAGCTGGTTTCTATTCCATTTAATGGAAATATTTATTTTCAATATATATATTTGTGTAAGTTGTAATTCGATAAATTGAGTAATATTATAACTTAATAAAATATCATGTTACAATTAGTTTAATATAAAATGTTTGCATAGAAATATACAGATACATTATTGAAAATACAATTTATGTATACAATCATTTTAAAAATTATTTTATGACATGAACCAATTGATGTTCACGACCACTGCAAATGGTTAATGATTTAATGGAGAGCATTCGTGTGCAATGTATGATACATACGATTGTAATCCTGACGTGATGGATCATAAAAGTCGATGGCCAGGTTACTCGTGACTCACACTAATCACTATATACGTCGTTTAAATAAAAGTTACTTCGAATAATAATCGCATAACGATACGAATATGATTACAAAATAAAATTTTGTTCTCGAGGAAAATGTCGACGGTATATTAATAAATTTCTTAAAATTATTTAACCATCTTATTTAAAATCAAAACTCTTTGGAACTATATATTAAATTATTCCAAAGAGAAGTGATTTTTAATGAAAAAAAAAAAAAAAGAAAAAAATTCACTTTCGAGTAAATTCCACGTCACACTTTACCAGCGGATATCCGGCTCGATCCAAAGCCTAATTCCTTTCATTTACGTTTAAATAGCGATTTCCCCCGGAGAAAGGCGGATAATTTCTAATTGGATCACGACTATTAAGAATCCTTCAGGTTGATCCAACGATGCAAAACGTTCACGTGCTCTCGGAGGAAACTCGATGGAAAGTGTCCTCGAGAGGACGTAAATATTAAAGAGGTTGAAAACTTGAAAGAGATACGCGACGTTATGCATGTCAAACGGGGATGGACTAGCCAAGTACGCAGCCTTTTCATTTTGTCGAGATCAGGAGGGGGGAGAAGAGAGGAGGGAGGGAGAGAGAGAGAGAGAGAGAAAGAAAAAAACGGCTGGTTATGTTGTCCATTAGCTGGGATGCGTCTCTCGAGGGTAAAAAGACGCTCGATGAGAACGGGAGCTCCCTCTCGTCTCGAAACGCGGCGGAGGTGTCGGAGACGGAAGTGGAAACAGCGCCTCGGGCAGACGGAAATAGGGACAAGGTCCTCGTTCCACCAGGAGGTGTTTCCAACTCATCGTTTCGGCCGGGTCTGAATGTCAGTGAGTAAAAATGTTTGCCTCACGAATCGGATTGTAAAAGTTCTCGTTACGATCGTGTAAATTTTGGAAAATTAAATTTCGTTTTTGTTGATTTCTCAAAGAGGAAATGGTTTATTTTTTTTTTATCTTCGATTAGAAGGAAAAGATTTTCTTACGCTTATTATCATGCCATTGCACTTTATCATTATACGATTTGCAGTTAGAATTTACTAATAAAAACTTTTTTTTAATAAATTATCATTTTTCATTCTTGATGAACAAGCAATGGATTTCAATCGTAGAAGATTAAAAATAATACAAATTTGATCGCGAGTATTAATTGTAATATTTATTTTTTAATCACGTGAATATCATATAATGAACATGTGAAATATTATTTGATTGCGAACTGGAATTGCTTCAGTTTATTGCATGCTAAACGATAGTGTTTACCTTGTGGCGTCTATTTCAAACAGGAAGAAATCATGTGTTAATCAGTGCGTGGCAAACGCATCATTGGCCGTGTTCAAAGTTATCGTGTGCACACATGTGAATAATACTTTCTATAATATTACAGTTTACATTGAAATTTATTGCAACGATGATCCAAAGTATTAAGAATATTATAGATTTTCTCTTTTACGAGTACAAGAAAAACTCGTCCATGCATAATTGTTACATTTTAAAATATTATCGGAGAAAGTCTATAATATCAGAAGAATTTACAAATCATTATAGAACAATCAAGATAATGAAACTTTCCATAATTTAAATAATTTCTATACAATTGCTGCACTTCAAAAAAAGAATCGTCGTATAACGCAATCAAACCGATCGAAGAAAACCAAGCTAGTTAAATCAATCAAACCACACAAATCATTCCGCTCACTTTTCCATCCAAGATTCTCCTCGATCTTAAACAGAAAACGAAAAAAGAAAATCTACCCCCGTTTCAGCAGCCTCGACATCGATCACTCGCCGAAAGGGCGAGGGCGGTGACAGATCGCGGAAGAAACGTCGCAGAAACAAAGATTCGAAGAACACGAACACAGAGATGGTGGATCGTCAACGCGACGGCGCTCAGGAGAACGAGATCAGGGGAAAGCGAAACGGACAGGCGAAGAAGCCGAAAGATACGGCGGCGAGGAGGTATCGCGCCGAGCGTCGAAGGAGGAGAAAGAATCGCGAGCGGAAACGTGGGAGGAAGAGGCCGAGGAACGGCGAGAAGAGCGGCGAGGCGCGTAGAGCGTCCAAGTTGAAGAGAAGGATGAACGACGCGCCCGCGGCGCTGCTCCTCGGCAAGATCGATGGCCACGTGGTGGACGACACGACGAACGTGACTTGGAGAGGTAACCAAACGCGCCCGAGCGGCACGGATGTTACGTCACCGTCCAATCTTCAGGACCAATTAACCACCGAGGCTACGAAGAGATCCCCGCAGACCACCTCGCGTTACAACATGTACGAGGACACCGTGGAGAGAGAATTTTCCAAACAGCTCGAGAAAGAGATCTCGCAGATGGAGGATCCGGCCAGCTTGGAGAACCGTATCCTGGGCAGCTCTGTGCCCAAGTCGTCTAGGAGAAACTCGGGTCGAAAAGAGGAGGAGGAGGAGAGGGGCGGTAAAGGGAACGAGGCGAAGTTTGGCAACTCTAGGTACGACGCTGAGAAGATGTTGGGCTACTCGAGGACGGAGGAGGATCTGCCTATTCTGGATTTGGAGAACGAGGTGCTGGCGAGGACGTTGAAGGATTACAACGCGTACATGACGTCGAGTTTGAGATTGTCGATGGTGGCGAGGCGGGACGAGGTGGAGCGGAGGAGAGCCGGTGGCGGATCGCATTTTCACGGAAAGCCCATAATCGACGAGGCAGAGTTGGACAGGTTGGGCGGAAAGAAGAGCACGGAATGGGCGAGCAGCACGGCGGCGTACGAGGACGATACGAAGGGGGATTTATCTTGCATAAACGGGACGTTCGTGCCGGCACCCCTCGCCCGGCATGCGCTGATCAAATATGTAAAGTAAGTGGCTTTTAACATGAATAATTCAACTCATCCCGATCAGGTTGACCAGATTCCTCCCCCGATGCGATTTCCCTTATGACGATAGGATAGGATCCCCTATGCGTTTGGCGCATTGTATCACCATATCGTAGAATATGGCAATTTAATTAATGCCACTTTTACGAATCGAGCGATTTTTAGCGATTTTGTTTGTTGGCGAATAATTCGTCGATCGAATTGAGGCGAACGCTTCTCGATCATCGACAAATTAATATTATGATGTCATAGTTGATGGTGATTTTCTTCTTCTTCTGACTTGTTTATCATTTGTCCATTTGATTCTTTGATGAATCATTAAGATCAAGTGAGGCTTAATTTTCTTTAATAGTAGGTTATTACTTTATTTGTTATGGTATAATAATATTTATTCGTATTATTATTTTATATCTTATTGATCAATTAGATTTTTTTTTTTTTGATAATATCTATTTAAAACGTATTAAAATAAAATTAAAAATATATGGTTGGTATTTTGGTCATTGGAGATATTCATATTGATTGTGAAAATATATTACGTATTAGTATTTTCTCGAGAAATTGAATAATGTGTAACTTTGACAAAATTATTCGGTTAATGTATGTACATATGTTATTACGTTATATCAGCATGAAATTAATCGGATTGAATTGAATTTGAAAATGAAAGTTAATTATTTGAATTGGTTTACATTAAATTCTGCGCGAGTTGGTTAACCAGATAATAACGATTTACGTTTGATTTTAAGTAATATATAATATAATATTAATTAATAATTAATTATTGATATAATAATGGGGATTTAACTAACGTTATAATATTATTATATTAATAAAAATATTTTACACGAAAAGTATAAAGGAAACGATATTCCGTACACGTTTAATTTTCTACGTAATTACTTTCAGTAATTATTTTCAATTCCTATTAAAGTACAAGCAGAAACGTAATTCGCAAAACGTTCCCTTCATTCCAAGAATTTCGTTCAATATCTTTAACGAAGTATGTGTTTTCCCTTCTCAAAGGACGTAAGTTGAAAAGTCTATAATTGCAGTTCTTGATGCTCGTTCCATTCAAAACGACCTTTTTCAGATTTCTTTTAAAGCTTTCTCTCCCTCTCTCTCTC